ATGAGGGGAGGAGCCAATCAAAATTGGATCTCCCCCCACAGCACTGTCCACGACAGAGTTGCCCGTCCGGCACACACATACACACACATACACACACACATACAGACATACATACACACATACACACACACATACACACACACACATACACACACACATACCAACATACACACACATACACACACACACATGCATACACACATATACACACACATACACACACACATACACGTACACACACACATACACACACACATATACGCACACACACACATACACACACACATACACACACATACACACACACACATACACACACACACATGCATATACACACACACACATACACACACATACACACATACACACACATACACACACAGACAACAACAACCGCCATTCGCCACTAAGTGGCGGTGACGTCACCACGACGCTTGTGCCAGGCTATGTGCACCCTGAGGCCACGTGAAGTGTCGAACGCCCGCTGGCAGGAGGTCACGGGGCAGACCCAGGTGCCACGGGTCGACTGACTGAGATGACTGAGATGGCTGGCTGATGAGCGTGAAGTCGCGATTGACTAATGGGGGCTAACGAATGAGTAATTAGTAATACACGTTGCTTTAAGAGATTGTTAAAGTTACAATGTTCTAATACGTGTTTAATCTAAATTACTTTTTGAATGTCATTAATTTTGTTGTATTATTTAATAAGACTAATTAAAATAGCTCAGAGGTTGCTTCATTTCCACTTGTCTTATTAATTCCCCCAGACCCGCTGCCCTTCTAAGGGCCGGGACCGAGCAGGCCAGTGGTCGAGACCCTGGGAGCCCCCGGGTCCCGACGTCCTTGTAAGGGCCGGGACCGAGAGGGCCAGTGGTCGAGACCCTGGGAGCCCCCAGGTCCCGACGTCCTTGTAAGGGCCGGGACCGAGCGGGCCAGTGGTCGAGACCCTGGGAGCCCCCGGGTCCCGACGTCCTTGTAAGGGCCGGGACCGAGAGGGCCAGTGGTCGAGACCCGTACCTTGGCTGGGTCGGGTCAGTGTAGCCTCCCCTAGGTCACTGTTAGCCGGAGGCGAGAGAGCCCGTGGTCCCAGTGATAGGCCACGCTTGTTCGGGGGCCGTACCCCCCCCAGGTAGCGGGTTAAGGGGCCGTTACCCCTTTGTGTTAGGGACCGTTACTATTGCTGTTACCGCTGTCGTTAAATCAACGTGCTGCCTCTACACGCCGTCTCCAATCTCCTTGCACCCACTACACGCGCAGCGTTTGTTTCACGTCTCGTGTGGTCACTGTGGTAAGAAACTTGCTTGGCTTTGATTCCCAGACAATTCGTAACGGTAAAGAAATTTAATAATAATAGAATACGACGTTTCGATTGCAACACAAGCGACCATCATCAGGTACAAATGAATGAGAACAAACATAGTAAACTTGGAAATATAATGCAATATAACACAGAGTCGGCCAACAAAACAATCAATGCCCCACCTGGTTGATTACGTTATTCCAAAGATTAATACATTTGAGAGAGACAAAATGTAGATACGGGGACACACAAGCAGAGAGAGAGAGAGACAACACAGAAACACACAGAGAGAGACACACAACATAGACACAGAGAGAGAGACAATACAGAGACACACAGAGAGAGACACACAACATAGACACACAGACATACACACAAGCAGAGAGACTCACACAGAGACACACAGAGAGAGACACACAACATAGACACACAGACATACACACAAGCAGAGAGACTCACACAGAGACACACAGAGAGAGACACACAACATAGACACAGAGACACACAAGCAGAGAGAGACTCACACAGAGACACACAGAGAGAGACACACAACATAGACACACAGACATACACACAAGCAGAGAGACTCACACAGAGACACACAACATAGACACACAGAGACACACAAGCAGAGAGAGACTCACACAGAGACACACAGAGAGAGACACACAACATAGACACACAGACAGGCACACAAGCAGAGAGAGAGACAACACAGACACACAGAGAGAGACACACAACATAGACACACAGACAGACACAAGCAGAGAGAGAGACACACAACATAGACACACAGACAGACACACAAGCAGAGAGAGACAACACAGAGACACACAACATAGACACACAAACAGACACACAAGCAGAGAGAGAGAGACAATACAGACACACAGAGAGAGACACACAACATAGACACACAGACAGACACACAAGCATTGAGACTCACACAGAGACACACAGAGAGAGACACACAACATAGACACACAGACAGACACACAAGCAGAGAGAGAGACAACACAGAGATACACAGAGAGACACACACAACACTGACACACAGGCAGACACACAGGCAGAGAGAGACAACACAGACACACAGAGAGAGACACACAACATAGAAACATAGACAGACACACAAGCAGAGAGAGACTCACACAGAGAGAAACAGAGAGAGACACACACAACATAGACACAGACATGCACACAAGCAGAGAGAGACTCACACAGAGACACAGAGAGTGACACACAACATAGACACACAGACAGACACACAAGCAGAGAGAGGCAACACAGACACACACAGAGAGTGACACACAACATAGACACACAGACACACAGAGAGAGACTCACACAGACACACACAGAGAGTGACACACAACATAGACACACAGACATACACACAAGCAGAGAGAGACAACACAGACACACAACATAGACACAGAGACAGACACACAGACACACAGAGAGAGAGACTCACACAGAGACAAACAGAGAGACAAACAAGAGCTTTAATAGCTCTTAAAACCCCTCCCACCGCTCCTGCAGTCTAAACACAACAAGACTCCCAAGTCCTCTGGTGACATCAAAAATTATTTAATAACGAGACGAACAAACGAGCCACAGAGCGAAGCCTCGGCCCTACGCGTTGGGCCTTGCGTGGCCCATTAATGGGCACTCGACTCGAATGTGCGGACGTTTCACTGACTGAACGCAACATTGAAAACAGCATTGAGAATCTTCACTTGAAGCTTTCGTGACAACTGCAGGGATCCACGCTCTCAAAGTCATCACGTGGTAGGTGTATAAAATACATCGCCACGTTTCTATTGCGACACAAGCGACCGTCATCAGGCGGAACAGGTACAGTTCAACTGATGGGGGGTCGCTTGTGTTGCGACAGAAACGTCGTGATTTATTTTATTTTGTCCCTACGTCACTTGACCGAAAGAACCTTGAAGAATGTTCTTGGTTCTTTCGGTAAAGTCACCACGTAGAAGGGAAACAATAAAATAATAAAAATATAAAACAATAAAAATTCTCACGACGTTTCGACTGCGACACAAGAAGCAATCATCATCGGGTGTGAAAACCACAGCAAGAAAATTTGAAAAAGTGGCGTTTTTTAACGTTAGCACCACGGAGAGCGATTTGGCAGTTGTTCAGATGGACGAGTCCATCTATGTCCGGAAAAGAGGAGGGGGGAGAGGAAGAGAATGGAATGCGGTCTGAACAACTGCCAAATCGCTCTCCGTGGTGCTAACGTTAAAAAATAACCGCCACTTTTTTCAAATTGTCTTGCTGTGGTTTCCACACCTGATGATGATTGCTTCTTGTGTTGCAGTCGAAACTTCGTGAGAATTTTATTATTTTATATTTTTATTATTTTATTGTTTCCCTTCTACGTGGTGGTGACTTTACCGAAAGAACCAAGAATATGAATCCCTGCAGTCACGAAAGCTTTAAATCAAAACCTTGAAAGATGTTTTACAACGTCCGTGTTTTAAACGCGCAAAATAATCACGTTTCCCCAATTTTACACATTCTCAGGAAGCTGTGCGTATATATTTAGTTTACACCACGCGCGACGATGTTCAACGCAGCAGCCGTTTAAAAACTCTGGGTTAAGAGCGGCAAAGCCGGAAACTCGGTGCAGGCGGACGCTGCTGCTGGAGCTGAATGAACGAGCGAGCGTCGCAGCCGAGGACGGATTCCACCTTTTCAACATTTCCGAGCGGTGATTTCTAAATTTGCCCGCGGCCAATCTCCCGAGGCGGGAGCTGCTCCGGCGTTCTCTTCGCCAAGTGCCGAGTCCAACGCAAACCCCCGCGGGACGAGGTGCGCCGAGGGGCCCTAATCCAGCAGCGGGTTAACGAGTCCCCGAAAATTATCTCTCACGCGACTGATGGAAGAAAAAAAAACCTGCCAACTTCTTAGAAACAAAAGCGGCGAGGAACACACAAAGCCGTCCACACACAGCCTAAAGATTCCCCAACCACTGCCGTGTAGCCTTAACAAACTGTTGGGGCAAGTGCTGTTAGCGAGTAGCAGCAGCTATGAAGATCCCCCCCCGTGTGGTCTTAACAAACTGTTGGGGCAAGTGCTGTTAGCGAGTGGCAGCAGCTATGAAGATCACCCCTCGTGTAGCCTTAACAGACTGTTGGAGCAAGTGCTGTTAGCGAGTAGCAGCAGCTATGAAGGCTACCGGCACTGTGGCACACGAGGGTGGGTGGTCAACACCACGCACAGCCGCCTTTGTCTCCCCAGTGGCGATGTCTTTACATATCGCAGCAGGTACTCATTCGAGGCCAAGTCGACCTAGGGGAGGCCCAGGACCGGTTGTTCAGATAATCGCAATCACTGTGGCGTTGGCCGTGAGCGGGAATGGAACTCGGCTGATCGCCGGCGTTGGTAGCGCTGACCGCTCCACCAACCCCCCACCGCTCCCCACCACCGACAAAGAGCGGCCACCGTGGAACGCGACAATTACATTTTTGATGACATCACCATTGCAATAAGTGCTCCATGGGGCTATTATTGCACACGCTGTGTATGAACTCACTCTGTCTGTTGTTGTTGTATCATCAAATATAGTAACTCAATCTTAACCCACTTACCAATGTGGTATACTTATGTCATAATGATGACAACACTGTATTCTAGCGTAAAAACATATTTTTCAACAATCTTTTTTTAACACGTTATGTTTCAGCTTGGGTGTAATTGTCCACGCTCAACTGACGTCGTTGGCTGTAAATCTCCACGGTCCCCTTACGTCGTGGCCAAGCCTCGGGGCCACTTCCTGGAGTCGTGGAGTTATTCCGTTACCAGTAGGGTACATTAAATTAAAGAGTGTTTAAAAAAAAAGTATTTTAAAATATTACTTATTAATGTAATAACTCACAAACGTAAAACATGTTTACGCACGTGAACTCTGCGTAACATTCCAGTTCCAGTAAAGATTTACAGAACGTAACTTCTTCACTTCAAGTCGAGCACCAAACGCCTTGAAATCACCGCAACTCTTTAACCCTTCCGCCCATTGCAATAAGCGATCCACAGAGTTACACGTGTAACAGCTTACACTTGAATATGTGTAAGCTGTTACACATGTATATGTGTAAGCTGTTACATGTTACATGTGTAACAGCTTACACGTGAATATGTGTAAGCTGTTACACGTGTATATGTGTAAGCTGTTACACGTGTAACAGCTTACACGTGTATATGTGTAAGCTGTTACACATGTATATGTGTAAGCTGTTACATGTTACATGTGTAACAGCTTACACGTGAATATGTGTAAGCTGTTACACGTGTATATGTGTAAGCTGTTACACATGTAACAGCTTACACGTGTATATGTGTAAGCTGTTACACATGCATATGTGTAAGCTGTTACACATGTATATGTGTAAGCTGTTACATGTTACATGTGTAACAGCTTACACGTGAATATGTGTAAGCTGTTACACATGTATATGTGTAAGCTGTTACACATGCATATGTGTAAGCTGTTACACATGTATATGTGTAAGCTGTTACACGTGTAACAGCTTACACGTGTATATGTGCATCTACATTCACTTCGTCACTTCCCAAGTCTGACATCGTACACCTTAAAATCAACGCACTCTTATTAACGCTTTCCCATGCCACCCATTGCATTGTCCCACAGCGTTATAAATGTAATAACTCGCACATGTAAGTACGCCTTAAAATCACCGCAATCTTTGACCCTTCCACCCGTTGCAATAAGCGCTCCACAGAGTTCTAAATGTAATAACTCCCAAATGTAGAAACTGTGTAAACTTTGCGTACCATCCGGTTAAAGCAAAGATTACAGAACAGTCTTAAAACTTCACTTCCTTCACTTTCCAAGTCTGACATCATACGCCTTCAAAACCACCACACTGATAATTATTAATGAACCCTTTCACATTCCGGAACCCCCCCCCAAAAAAGGCTGCTCTATGGGTGGAGGCCGGTGGCCAAGTGAAATTGCCCTCCCCGTGCCTCCCTGCGCGAAAAAACGAACGCCGAACGCTCGCCAGCGACCGGCTTATGCCTCGGCATGGGAGAGGGGAGGGGTCAATCAACGAACTCGCCCCGACGGTCGAAGCCACGGGCGGTCAGGATCCCTGGCGGTCGTTTCTCTCTCCTCCTCCTTCGCCCGGCCGTCCGCCTAAACCACGAAGGCCCGGAGCGACGTCTTCACGGCGACGCGGCACACGGGACACCGGCTCAGGGAGAGGGCGCAGTGGCCGCACGTGGCCACGTGTCCGCACGGCACGAACATCGTGGACACCTCGCGCTCCATGCACACCTTGCAGGACAGCCGCTCTTCCAGCTTGTCCAGAAGCTCCTCAGTTGATGGCGCTGCTGTGGACAAAAGCGCGCGCAGACGCACGCGGAGACGCACGCGGAGACACACGCGGAGACACACAGAGACACACAGACACACGTGCAGACACACAGAGACACACAGACACACGTGCAGACACACAGAGACACACAGAGACATACAGAGACGCACAGAGACACACGCGCGCATGCACAGACGCAAGCGCACGCGCAGACAGAAGCACACACGGGCACACCCGCACACACTTTCAGCGGTTTCAAAAAGTGATGGTCGATCATCACCAGACTGCTTACATATGGGGCGCAAAGTTGGCGAGATGTTGACCACCTCGTCTGGTATACATGAGGTCGTGACTCTCACCAGTATCAGACTCTCACCTGTATCAGTCTCTCACCTGTATCAGACTCTCACCAGTATCAGACTCTCACCTGGCTCAGACCCTCACCTGTATCAGACTCTCACCTGTATCAGACCCTCACCTGTATCAGACCCTCACCTGTATCAGACCCTCACCTGTATCAGACTCTCACCTGTATCAGACCCTCACCTGTATCAGACCCTCACCTGTATCAGACCCTCACCTGTATCACCCTCACCTGTATCAGACCCTCACCTGTATCAGTCTCTCACCTGTATCAGACCCTCACCTGTAACAGACCCTCACCTGTATCAGGTGAGGGTCTGATACAGTGCGCAGGGATCCGTCGTCTTACCGTGCTCAATCTCCGCGGTTTGTACTCTGCGGCGTCTGTCCCGGTAGCGGAGCCTTTGAACCGACAAATAAAGATGAACATCGTCGCGTGTAAGAATCATCGCCGGTGTCACGCAGAAGAACCGAAAAAAATGGATAAGTTACGCAGGCGACGACCGCTCGCGTTGAAAACGATCGCGACTTTTTGCACCGTCACTCTGCGCTCGATTTGCAATCGGCGTGTCGGCAAACCAAACGGAACGACAAGAGCCGGCTCTCGATTGTCGCCGCTAACGACGGGGGGCAGGGCAGCTGCAGACGGCTCAAAATCGCGCAGCATCCAAAAAGATAAAATAAAAAAAATTTCCGTGGATCTCTACGCCAAAAACACCGATTATCCCCATAGTTATATATATAGTTATATAGTACATTCAATCTGGCTGTTGCCTGATGAAGCTCGTTGTTGTTGTAATTACTGGTGAAACGTCGTACTCAGATTCTAAATGTTGTGGCTTGGCTCTCCAACACACCGGTGTGAGCTGTACTAGTATTATACACTATACACTACTATACTATTATACACTACTATACTATACACTACACTATACACTACACTACTACACTATACACTACTATACACTATACACTACTACACTATTATACACTACTATACTATACACTACTATACTATACTATACACTACTACACTATGCATTATTACACTATACACTACTACACTATACACTATTATACACTATACACTACTATACTATACACAACTATACTATACACTACACTACTATACACTACTACACTATACACTACTACACTATACACTACTATACTATACACACTACTATATTTACAATAAGCATATTGGTAATAAAACCACATTCTTTTTGTATTTTTACCCCTGAATGATGAACAACATTTCAAGCTGCCTGCGAAGTTTAAGTTTGAGTCTATTTGTGTTCAAGACCGCTGATAAACTCCATCAAGAGACGAGGCTGGTCTCGTCTGTTCAACGACCGGAGTTGACCAAGGTCAACGTTAAAAAACTAAACAAAAAATCGTACGTGCGGCGCGTTCGCACGCCGGCGTTAAACTCGATTCTCCTGCGAAACCAAAAGTTGGCGAGAAAATGTTTTGTTACCGGCGGCCGCGTCGACCCGCGGACGAAAGCTTCCCCCTTCTGTCGTCCAACAAACACGCAGCTGTTCAGCAAACGACGCGGGAAGAGAGGCGGGGGGAGGGGGGTCATTATTTTACGCCGGCTGGGTACAATGTGGTGGATGTATTGGGGAGCACGTCACCATTATTATTATTTATATTATGATCTTATAGTGAGATGGTTGTATTGGGGAACACATTATATCTATTATTTTATCGCGTTTATTATGATTTTGTTATTATCTTATAATGCGTTGGATGTATCAGGGAACACATCATTATTATATAATGCGATGGATGTGTTGGGGAACACATAATTATTTAATATTTACAGTGAGGGAAAAAAGTATTTGATCCCCTGCTGATTTTGTACGTTTGCCCACTGACAAAGAAATTATCAGTCTATAATTTTAATGGTAGGTTTATTTGAACAGTGAGAGACAGAATAACAACAACAAATCCAGAAAAACGCATGTCAAAAATGTTATGAATTGATTTGCATTTTAATGAGGGAAATAAGTATTTGACCCCTCTGCAAAACATGACTTAGTACTTGGTGGCAAAACCCTTGTTGGCAATCACAGAGGTCAGACGTTTCTTGTAGTTGGCCACCAGGTTTGCACACATCTCAGGAGGGATTTTGTCCCACTCCTCTTTGCAGATCTTCTCCAAGTCATTAAGGTTTCGAGGATGACGTTTGGCAACTCGAACCTTCAGCTCCCTCCACAGATTTTTCCATGGGATTAAGGTCTGGAGACTGGCTAGGCCGCTCCAGGTCCTTAATGTGCTTCTTCTTGAGCCACTCCTTTGTTGCCTTGACCGTGTGTTTTGGGTCATTGTCATGCTGGAATACCCATCCACGACCCATTTTCAATGCCCTGGCTGAGGGAAGGAGGTTCTCACCCAAGATTTGACGGTGCATGGCCCGTCCATCGTCCCTTTGATGCGGTGAAGTTGTCCCTGTCCCCTTAGCAGAAAAACACCCCCAAAGCATAATGTTTCCACCTCCATGTTTGACGGTGAGGATGGTGTTCTTGGGGTCATAGGCAGCATTCCTCCTCCTCCAAACACGGCGAGTTGAGTTGATGCCAAAGAGCTCCATTTTGGTCTCATCTGACCACAACACTTTCACCCAGTTGTCCTCTGAATCATTCAGATGTTCATTGGCAAACTTCAGACGGGCATGTATATGTGCTTTCTTGAGCAGGGGGACCTTGTGGGCACTGCAGGATTTCAGTCCTTCACGAGGTAGTGTGTTACCAATTGTTTTCTTGGTGACTATGGTCCCAGCTGCCTTGAGATCATTGACAAGATCCTCCCGTGTAGTTCTGGGCTGATTCCTCACCGTTCTCATGATCATTGCAACTCCACGAGGTGAGATCTTGCATGGAGACCCATGCCGAGGGAGATTGACGGTTTTTTGTGTTTCTTCCATTTGCGAATAATCGCACCAACTGTTGTCACCTTCTGACCAAGCTGCTTTGCAATGGTCTTGTAGCCCATTACAGCCTTGTGTAGGTCTACAATCTTGTCCCTGACATCCTTGGAGAGCTCTTTGGTCTTGGCCATGGTGGAGAGTTTGGAATTTGATTGATTGCTTCTGTGCACAGGTGTCTTTTATAGGTAACGAGCTGAGATTAGGAGCACACTCTTAAAGAGGAGCACACTCTTAAAGAGTGTGCTCCTAATCTCAGCTCCTAATCTCAGCTTGTTACCTGTATAAAAGACACCTGGGAGCCAGAAAACTTTCTGATTGAGAGGGGGTCAAATACTTTTTTCCCTCATTAAAATGCAAATCAATTTATAACATTTTTGACATGCGTTTTTCTGGATTTTGTTGTTGTTATTGTCTCTCACTGTTCAAATAAACCTACCATTAAAATTATAGACTGATAATTTCTTTGTCAGTGGGCAAACGTACAAAATCAGCAGGGGATCAAATACTTTTTTCCCTTACTGTATATATATAAATTTCACGGGCGCAGCAGGTGCCAAACGCCTCACCTGGGAAACCACTTTGCGTGCTCATGCCAAGCGCTGTCTCCCAGCGCCCACTCTTGTAGATGACCGTCGCAGCTGAAGCACTTCACAAGATCTCCGTAACCTACTCAAAATAGAAAACACGTTACAGGGACCTCTCCCCTACTTATCGACACTGTCGACTTTTCAGAGATAAACAAACCCATCCAGTTGCCCGTTCGGACCGAGAGTCCTAAGTTCAACCGCCTCACAATAGTTGGAGGTGGTGGCATCAACATCTGCAGAACGTGAAAAACCAGTGGCATTTACATCTACAGAACGTGAAGAACCAGTGGCATTTACAGCTACAGAATGTGAAGAACCCAGTGGCATCAACATCTGCAGAACGTGAAGAACCAGCGTCATCTACATCTACAGAATGTGAAGAACCAGTTGCATCTACATCTACAGAATACGAAAAACCAGTGGCATCTACATCTACAGAACGTGAAGAACCAGCGTCATCTACATCTACAGAACGTGAAGAGAACCAGTGGCATCTACATCTACAGAACGTGACGAACCAGTGGCATCTACATCTACAGAACGTGACGAACCAGTGGCATCTACATCTACAGAACGTGAAGAACCAGTGGCATCTACATCTACAGAACGTGACGAACCAGTGGCATCTAAATCTTCAGGAGATTATACAACTTGTAAAGGCATTCCCCGTGTTTCGTGTACACACTCTACAACACGTTTGGAACCGACAGGACTTCGCACTCCTATCGTGTTTTTGTAAACCGTTCGTTGCCGTGACGTTCTTACCCCCCGTGCCCGGACTGGACATCATGCGAAAAAGAGCTTCACAGCTCAATGGATTCCTCCAGTATAGATAAATATTCTGATTCTGACCTCCCTCAGGTGTTTGACCAAAACTATTAACCAACATTGATACTATTTTATGATACCAGGTGTTAGGACCATTGAGTTGCTATTTAGCTCTTTTTCAGAGGTGACCACCTGGCTATCACAAACGATAGCTCAACGAAGTGGCTTATCGCATGAGAATTTAAATGCAGCCAAATACTCTAAACGCGTGTTTCTAAATGTGCAAGGAAAAAACCGGAGGACCGGCAGAAAAAATCCACGCGACCACGGGGAGAGAGGCACCAAAATTCCAAATACACATCAGGCGTCAGGATGGAACCCACCACCTCCTGCCTTCCAGGCGAGGTAGCCAACATCTCCGAGCCACCGTGGCGCTTGCCCCCAAAGAGCCGCCCCTCCCCCCACAAAACGGGGACGACTACAGCGCCGGGGAAGGCCTCCACCCACTTCTACGCAGCGGCAGCAGCAGCACAAACCGTACCGGAATAGTAGAAGCCTGCGTAGGCCAGTTCAGGCGGGGACACATTGGCGGTGTACGGCCAGCTCGCGAAAGATCTGAGTCGCGCCCCGAACGAACGCATCTCTGGACTCAGTCCGGAGTCGGCGCCATCCTGAGTGGCCGGCGGCAACGGGGCCTGCGGGGAAAAGGCGCCACCCAGGGACAAACGCAACGACGACAACGGTGACGACGATGACGACTGCGACGGCAGCGTCGACGGCGACGACGGTGACGCAGTGAGCTCATCGAATTGTCCCCGCCCTTGGAAAGGCTCCCCAGGAAGCCGTGAGGGCATTGGAATCGTTTTTTTTTAAACGACATCTTCGAAACAAAACCTTTTAGACTGGCCTAAAAAGGTTAAGTCATTTACATGACTTAATACGATTACATCTCCATAACTAGCATAACTTATGCGCATAATTACATCAATTAACGTTATTTCGGATAATTACGCATTTTTCCAAATTTCATTTCATTTTTATTATTTTTATTAAAATTTTCAAGACCCGGCATATACAACAGGTGGGGGAATTTATAGAGAAGATAACATTACAGTAGAATCTTGATTTGAATTACAGTACACTCTGGATGATCCGCGCGCGGTTTGTTCGATTTGCAGATGAACCGCACACCTGAGATTTTGACGGAGATTAAGAACTCGTGGATATTCCCCTGAAGTCCACCTGAAGATGACCGTTTGAGTTATGGTCGAAACGTCGTGAGAATTTTATTGTTTTATATATATTATTTTGTTGTTTCTCTTCAACGTGACTTTACCGAAAAAACTAAGAATATAATCTAAAAACAGTTTATACAACAATGGTTAATTCTTGGACATTTTTATTACAAGTCATGTGGCGCTTTAACCGAACAAATACGTTGCCCCGGTTAATCCGAAATCCACGTGACCGCCTCTACGGCAGCTGCAACGTCTTTACAACGGTGGGCAGAGTTTAATTGATTTTGTTGCCGTGGCTCTGCTGTCAAATGAGCGAGCCGACTCTTCAGCGCGGGGAGCGGGAAAGTCTCATCATTGAACATGGTTATAGGCACAAAGCATTGAAGAACTGAGACTCATCTACAAGGGCGCAGCGGTAGCCAGGAGATGTGAACGACCTCGCCTGGTATGCAGGAGGTCATGGGCTCAAAACCCGACCCTGACACCTGCTTCTGCCTATTTGGAGTTTCCGTGTCTCTCTCTCTCTCTCTCTGTTCCCCCCGTGGTCACCACGTGCGAGGGTATTCGGCAAATATAAATGTCCACGCAACGATGCTGAGCCCGCTTCGCTGAGCAACGTCGCTGCTTTGCGTGACGGAGAGGGTCGGCATCTGAAATAAATAGCTACGTCATCGCAGCGCTGAGTAGGGCCCTCGCCAGGTCAAGAATAACTGTGTTAGCACAGGGTGCTTACAAAGAAATGTTCACACTTGTTTTTGGACTATCGTTTTTTAATATAACACGAATCTGACCGCGAATGCGCGTCAATGGATTCAACGAGCCAAAGGGTCTCCGCTCGTTCGCCATCGTCGTCTAAACACGCCTAGAATTATCTCCAATCGGTACCCAGAACCCCGAGGCACATCTCTTCGTGCCAATCGTTGCAAATTCTCAGCGGCACCCCGCACTAGTTTTAGGAAAGACCCGGCCTCGCCCCCCCAAAACAAGCGTCAGGACGTCACCGGCGCCGTCGCTGGCGTCACCCACCGCGCGAGCGCAGGCGGGGAAGTGCCTGGCGTGCTCCCGAGCGGGGTCGTCCCCCTCCTCCCAGCGATGCATCATCCCGCCGCAGCGGAAGCAGGCCACCAGGTCGCTGAAGCCCATGCGGTAGAGTCCGGCCCGCGCCAAGTCCGCGGGCCGCACGGGGGACGACCGGGGCCACCCCTTGGAGAACGACAGCAGCCTGGCCGATTCGCTCAGCATCTTCGAGGCCGACGGTCGCGGGATCCGGTCGAAGCGGGGCATCGGGGGGGCAGAGCGTCTCGCCGCCGCCGACGCCCTGCGGGAGGCCCGAAAGTCTACGACGTTCGGCATCGACCCGGCGGAAAAATACGGGGCGATTTGGGGTGAAAAGAATGCTTTTGCGAGGGACGAGTCCGCCCGGGGGTCTCTTGTTAAAGATCGCTCAAGAAACGTCGAGGCCTTCTCCTCCTTTCAAGGCATCGAAGAGATCCCGGAGCTCGTAGCTCAACGGGTAGTTTAAAAACCGGCGATGGGAAATGGCACGACCCCTGTTGTCACCCTCGACGGCTCCTGAATGCGGGAACAAAAATGTTGGGGCGGCAAGCGTCATTAAAAACGGACATCTTTTAGTGATATTCTTAGCTCTTTCGGTAAAGTCACGTTGAAGGCAAACAATAAAATAATAAAATACATATAAAACAATAAAAATTCTCACGACGTTTCGACCATAACACAAACGGTCGTTATGTTATGGTCGAAACGTCGTGATAATTTTTATTGTTTTGTATATATATTTTATTATTTTATTGTTTCCCTTCAACGTGACTTTGCCGAAAGAGCTAAGAATATGAATTACTGCAGTCACGAAAGCTTTAAATCAAAATAAAATATTTAAGTGACTTGAAATGTTTGGTTTAAACAATTCATCCATACACAAAGGCTTTTTGTGGGTTAGATTGCGTAAATATATTAATGTTAAACCCGCCACCACCCGACACGGCCAACTGGTAAGGGTTGTCACGTAAACAGAACAATCTCTATTATGGATGATATTGGTCGCCAAAGCCTACGTGTTAAGAATTAAACAGTTCAGTCTGTCACTTCTGACAAACTCATGCACAGCAATAAAAGGGGGCACACACAGTCTGGATGGTCCTGTACCAAACGGAGTTTCGAGAGTTATCTGGTGTGAGAAAAACCAACACTACCCATAGACTCAGCACTGCACCATAGACTCAACACTACCCAAAGACTCAACACTAACCATAGACTCAACACTGCCCATAGACTCAACACTGCCCATAGACTCAACACTACCCATAGACTCAACACTGTACCATGGACTCAGCACTGCACCATAGACTCAACACTGCCCGATAGACTCAACACTACCCAAAGACTCAACACTGCCCATAGACTCAAAACTGCCCATAGACTCAACACTGCACCATAGACTCAACACTGCCCATAGACTCAGCACTGCACCATAGATTCAACACTGCATCATAGACTCAGCACTGTACCATAGACTCAACACTGCACCATAGACTCAACACTGCCCATAGACTCAACACTGCACCATAGACTCAACACTGCCCATAGACTCAACACTGCACCATAGACTCAACACTGCCCATAGACTCAACACTACACCATAGACTCAACACTGCACCATAGACTCAACACTACACCATAGACTCAACACTGCACGATAGATTTCGATTTAAAGCTGTCGTGACTGCAGGGATTAATCTTCTTGGTTCTTTAGGTAAAATCACGTCGGTTCTAAACTAATTGTATTTTTACGGTGACCTCAGACCGCAGCTCTTTCGCTGGCACCGCCTCTTAACACCTCTCACAGCACGGTTAACGTTGTGGTTTGTAACGTGGAGTATAACAGCGCCTCGTGGCTGTTTCTCTCCCCCCCCCTCCTCCGTCCCGAGGAGCGTGGATGGACTCGTCCGTGTGAATGGGGCCCGTCGCTGTCCGTGGTGCTGGAGGTGAGGGGAAGGATCCCACACACTCTGTGGTTCTATTCGGTAAAGTCACCACGTAGGTTAATTAAAATATAAAATAACAAAAATCACGACGTTTCGGCCACAGCACAGGCGGCCTTCATCAGGTGAAGGGACCCTGCTGTCATGATGAAGGCCGCTTGCGTTGTGGCCGAAACGTCGTGAGATTTTTGTTATTTTATTTTTGTTACCTACGTGACTTTACCGAATAGAACCAAAGAGTGTGGATCCTTGCAGTCACGAAAGATTCAAATATAGTAGAAGAATCCACCCATTGTTTCGCCATATGGCATTGTGATATATAACGACTTATTGTTGGTGGCTCAGCTGGTTGGAGAGTATATAGAGTTTATTGATAACATTGAGGTATAGTAATATGTTTTACCCTTTTAACTGGCACAAAAACTGACACCTTTATTCAAGGCATCATATTCTTAGTTTTTTCGGTAAAGTCACGTTGAAGGGAAAATATAATATATATTTTATTATTTTGTTGTTTCCCTTCAACGTGACTTTACCGAAAAAACTAAGAATATGAATTACTGCAGTCACGAAAGCTTTAAATCAAAATTCAAGGCATCATGTTTGTAATAACCACAACACATGATGCCTTGAATAAAGGTGTCAGTTTTTGTGCCAGTTAAAAGAGTAAAACCTATTACTATATCTTGTTACTGGTAAAGGAGGTCTCATAAAACATTGAGGTAGTTTATATTTTAGTTTTGTATTGGTTTACTATATGGCATTCATTATATAGCGTAGTGTATACCCAGTTGCTCTGTGTTAATAGCTCAGCTTATTGAAGAATATACTGAGTACATTCATTATATTGATGTAATTTATACTTCGATTTTATCACATCGGTTTACTGCACGATAGTTGGGTTAGTTGCAGCCCCTTTAGCGTCCACAGACTCAACAACTGCTGCACCTGCAAATCGTCTGCAAATTTACAGTTCACAGTTCATTTATTTGGTATAGCCCTGTGAGCCATTCGGCTCTTGAATCAGGTGCAACTGCAACAAACAAAAAACATGAACAAGAAAACATCTTAAAGTGATTATGTGACTGCGCAAACAGAAAATACAGGAAAAAAATATCAAAATATTCCTGAAATAGCACCGTACACCAACGCTGCGTGCAAAAATCCCAGTGGGATGCAAGTCAAAATAACAACAACAACCACAAGACAACTAAGATTAAGACCATCAGTCAACTCCGTACTACAATAAACAAAAACATGGCCAAAACAAAAAAAACTTTTCGAAATCACCAAAATAAAAGACATAAATCCAATGTAACAGTGATCATAGGGAGTGTGACCGAATTTTTTACAATAAACTACATAAATTTATTATAACACCAAAATCTAGAGCCATATTTTAGGCCACTGAATAGCAGTGGCAGCTAGGGTTGTACAACTCCTCTAGAGCAGTTTTGAGTGAAGATCTCATAGTTAGTGATTCAAGTTGCAGTTTATTGGCAATAGCATTCCAGACCCTAGGGGCATCAATAGCAAAGGCCCTTCCTCCAGTTTTTGTACGGCAATAGGGAATGTGAAGCTGGTAAATGAGCGAAGACCTGAGGTCAAATTTGTTCTTTGAAACAGAGAGGAGATCCAGTAGGTAGTCTGCGGAATTTTTTGTAAGTACATCGTGAATAAATAAGATCTGGTGCACAAGCCGTCGAACATTAAGAGATGTTAAGTTTGACCCAATGTAGAGATCACAGTGGTGAGTCTTATATGGGCAGTTCAATGCAAATCTTAAGGCCGAGTGATAGATGGAATCAAGCTTCTTCAGTACAGTACTTGGGGCTGATTTATACACGATGTCACAGTAGTCAAGTAGAGACAGTATGGTAGCTTTTATCAATTCCAAACGAAACATTGGGGGGAAGCAGTGCTTGTGTCGATACAGAAAACCAATTTTTATTTGTCTTTTTACCAATATAATCAATGTGATCTTCAAAACTAAGTTTTGAATCCAGGATGACCCCAAGATACTTATAGATCTTGACTTGCTCTATTTGATAATTATTCAAGGAATGTAATTGGGGAAAAAATAACTTCCTGCTTTAGTCCCGGAGAGAAGCATAGCACCTTGGTTTTGGAGGTATTCAGGACTAGTTTAAGAGAAACTAGCTGATGTTGTAGTTTGTTGAAATCACCCTGGAGCTTAGCAATCACGTCATCCAGAGAGCGGCCAGCAGTAATCAGTATCGTGTCATCTGCAAAAAGATTTACCCTTGAATGATCCAGTTCAGTGCCCAAGTCATTGACATAAAGAGAGAACAAGAGGGGGCCGAGGATGGAACCCTGTGGAACCCCTTTTGTTACCTTAACACTGTTTGACCTCCAACCATCTGTGAATACAGTTTGGGTGCGAGAAAAGAGGTAATTTTTTAACCATTGTACTGTGTTCTCGGAAAAACCGAGGCAACTTAGTTTACTAAGCAGGGTGTTGTGGTCAACTGTATCAAAAGCTTTGGACAGGTCAAGAAAAAGACAGGTACAGTACTGCTTATTATCAAGGCTATTGTAAATTAGATTCAAAGAGTCTAATGCAGCAGATGTGGTGCTGTATTTTTTTCGGAACCCAGATTGTTTTAGATGTAGTAGATTGTTGGTGGAGAGGAAACTGCTAATTTGGTAGTTCAATAATTTTTCAAAAATTTTCATCAATGGGGACAAAATTGAAATAGGTCGCTAGTTATTGGGATCATCTTTAGGGCCCCCTTTGTGAAGTGGACGGACATAGGAATGTCTCCATTCTAGAGGAACTGATGCTTCTTTGATGGACAGGTTGAAAATATGGGCTATAGCAGGGGTCGGGAACCTATGGCTCGCGAGCCAGATGTGGCTCTTTTGATGATTGCATATGGCTCGCAGATAAAACAAAATATTCTCACTTGTTTTAATCCATCCATCGATTTTTCACTGCGCATGTCCTGTTCAGGGCTGCAGGAGCAATTGTCCATTATTTTAATTGGATGATACTGGCCTACGTTTGCCGTTGCTGGGTAAAACAGGTAAACGCCCCCTTTTGAATCAGTCTGAGACTGCGTCTGCTCGGTCATTAGCTCAAAGCTAATCCTTCGACGAAGAAGATGGCGAAAAGAAAAAAGACGACGAGTATCGTACATTTCAGGACGAATGGACCGAAGAATTCGCCTTTGTGGAGAGAGCGGGTTCTGCGGTGTGTCTAATTTGCAATGACAAAATTACATCGTTGAAACGGTCGAATGTAAAGCGGCACTTCGACACGCGCCACGCTACCTTTGCATCAAAATACCCTGCGGGAGACAGCAGAAAGAAAGCGTGCCAAGAGCTTCTGAGCAGGGTGCAAGCTAGCCAGCAGCAACTCCGCGTATGGACCCGGCAAGGTGACTATAATTCGGCTAGCTTTGCTGGTTCTTTAGCAATAGTGAGGAATGGAAAACCATTCACAGATGGCG